CTAAAGCTTGACTAAACATTTGAAAAAGTTTATGCTAAAAAAACCGCCTCAGGTTTTGGATATTCGGATATGCGAAAGAAGCAAGTAGTTACACCAGAAAATCAGTTCCGCATTGGTAGTGTATCGAAACCGATTACAGCAGCTGCTATTTTAGTTTTAGTAGATCAAGGGAAACTCAATCTCGATGAACGTGTGTTTGGGAAAAACTCAATCTTTGGTATTTGTCGCATAGTTTCTTTTTTTTTGATCACTTTTTAAACATTCGTAAAAAGTACTGCTTTAGAATGTTAGTTTTAATTTATGTTGTTACAAAATATTTATATGTCACAAGGAATGGAATTTGCAAAAAAACGGCTGTATCAAAAGTTCGTAATGGAAGTTACAGTACGTCATTTATTGGAACATACAGCTGGTATAGTTTTTGAAAAATATTCTTTATTTACTGCAGAAATAACTTTTTGTAAAGAAAAATGTCTCATAAAAAGTGACAGTTTAATTTACCTATAAGTCAGGTAAATAACTGAAATTTCACAAAAATTCACAATACAACAAAATTTTTTTATATTTTTGCACGATTTTATCTCTAAATTTGGTGTAAAAATTGTAGGCGGTTGGGATAACATAGAAAATGATCCAGCTTGGATAGAACCAGAGATGACAACAAGACGTTTAATTGAACATGTTCTCGAGAATATACCGCTCACAAAAAAACCTGGCACTTGCTGGATATATTCAAATTTTGGTTACCAGTTGTTGGGGTACATTATTGAACGTAAAACCGGTTTAACATATGAGGAATTTGTTAAAAATAACATTTGGAGGCCAGTTGAAGTAACCGATATACGACTTGCTGGTCCTACGATATCAGACAGGGCTTCGTAAGTTATACTGTATTTGAAATTTTTATTTGTATGGCGAAATAAATTTTTTATTTCTTTAAGACGTGAAGTTCTATACTATATGAGCGGAAACCGAATAGGCTTCAATCCATACGAAATGCTTACACCAGATCGCATCGGTCCGTGGGGCGGCTGGATTGCTTCACCAATTGAACTACTACGTTTTATGGTAGGTTCGTACAAAGTGTCAAATTTCTTTTGACTAAATACGTACTTTATCAGTACTGTGCAAATTATATCAGCATTTGGTTTTTAACAACGGTAGTGCTCAGACATTAATTCTCATTTCATTAACTCAGTTATATTGAATACAATTTCTTGTTAAACGTTAATTTTATTTTTACAGACTCATACTGATGGATTCCATTCCAAGAAAGATATCTTAAGTCAGGAATCTATTGCGGATTGGTCAACTCCAACAAAAGCTTCTAATGAAACTTATGGTCTGTATAAAGATCTCCAAATAAAGAAATTTCAAAATGAGTTTCTGAACCTTTTAAACGTTATCTGTAATGACATATAAGCTTTTCAACTTAATTTTTTTACGAGATACGGGTTCCAGTTTTATCGAAAGACAAAATTATTATAGAGTTTGAAACAGCTTTTACAATGACAGTGCCAAATCAGCGCGTATAATTCATGCATTAAGGGTTGGGATGGTCAGTGAATGTAATGGGATTTAACGGTTGGCAACATGATGGCCGAATGCCTGGTAGCGCTGCAATGTTGGTACGGTTAGACAATGGTCTAGAGATGGCCGTTGTAGTAAATAAGGTTCGCCTCATGCGTGTCACTGATGCTATTTGTTGATATAAATTTTTTCACTTTCTTTTTAGACACTGGCCATAAATTTAGTCACTTTTTTTACTTTTTATTTTGCATAAATTATTGGTTTAGCAGAATGATCAACCGAGCAGAAAGAATTTGACCAACGGTTAGCAAAAGTGAAGATTTTAGTACATCTAACCAAATGTGTACGTCAACAACAGTAAACAATTTTTATTTTAGGAATACAGTGAAAGAGATTTCTTTCATGAACTTGGATATGTGCTCCATCATATCGGAAATAACGATGATTGGTGGCGAGGAAGTGAAGATTTGTTTCCCTGAATGCTGGGCTTTAGCTTTTAGTGTAACCTGAGCTACTCTGCATCTGGATCATTTGAAAGCCCTTGTTTACTGACTTTTGAGTTGTCACAATATTCATCTCATTCTTAACCAAAAACCAAATTTCTTATTCATTTGATTTTCGTTCATTTTATTTTGTTTTTTTTTTTTCAAATGAAAAATTCATATAGATAGTTTCGTCCAAGTTGTTGCTTGTTATTGTCAAAGAATTGTTGTGTCTGTACAAAATTTGTGACATTACATTTGTAGGCAAAGATTAGCGTCCAAAATAGCTATTTTTCATCTTTTTTCCCGTTTGTTTCTTTCACTCTTTGAGTAAAACCTATGGTCTAATAAGATGTTTGAAAGGAACTGCATTAAAAATTTAAAATTAGATATTCTTTACAGCTTGAAAAAATAATGATGAACAAACACAGAAGAATATCAAAAGTCCATTTGACACATAAAACTAACATTTAAAAAAGTCGACACTTGAGACGTTACCGAAGCAAATTCCAACTAATGTATTTGCTATAATAGTAATCCATTTTTTTTTTTCCAATTTACAATCCTACAGTTCATTTTTTTATAGTATTTGAAAGCTTCTAACAAAAATCAGTAATGCAATGGTGTATAAAATGCAGTGGTTAAGGACTGTCTATGATCAAGTTGTGCAATACATACGGCAGAATTTGTAAGACAAATCTTTGGAGCAAAAGTACATCTTTTGAGCATCTCAGCACTGAGAAATATTAAAGTTGAAAAGCTTACGAGAAAAAAGCTTTTTTTTTTTGAACGCTTAAACACTTAAAAAATGGCTCCTTTTTTGTCTTATCCTATTATGTCTACAGAGTTCCAAAAATGCTAAATATAATGAAACTGTTTTATGGCCTAAAAAGTCGGTTAGTTTCTTTTTCTTTTCTTGCTACCCTCAACAGTAAGCAAACGGCAAAAAAATTTTCTTTTCATTTACTCGGCATCAGCCAATAGTTACGGTTTTTGCTTCAGAGTTATCGATATTTTCATTTGTTTCCTTCGGGTACTTGCTGAACAGCTCCTTAATCGGTCACTTCGTATATGGCATTTATTTTCAATCGACTATTTACTTTTCTGCAAATATCAATTTTATTTTTCCCTTTATCTAACTTTTTTTCAACATTAAAAGAATTGCAGACAGCAATTTTAAATGATGAAAGAAGTTATTACATATCGAACTGAAAATGAACTTTTTACACCCTGAAATTTGCAAGAATTAACATAGCAGTTTTCAATAAACAAACAGAACAAAGAACAAGAAAACGAAAAAAAAAAGAAACATTTGAATCATGACATAAAAAAGTGATTTTGAGATAGTAAATATGAAAGAAATATCTATATTATCTTTTACAAACATCTATCATAGTGAGCCCGTATTTAATTTTCGTAATTCATTTGATTTATTTTTCGGTAAGATATTTCAGTCAAGTGAACAGGTTGTCGTTATTTATTTGACATACAAATTTCTACATTGACTTTGCCATATACCGTGTTTACTCTGCTTAAACCTCATTGCTCTAACATTGACTAATGTAGCTGATCCGCCTATTCTCAACTTCAAGATAAAAAAAAAAAAAAA